AATGCGCGCTTCCTCAAGAACAAGTTCTTGGAGGAAGGCGGCATTGGAAAATATTGAACTAAGGAAGAGTTCAAAAGAAGAAACGAGATTGCTGAAGATGGAACGTCCACTCAGCGAACCTCAGTATCAGATACTATGGTTCAAGTACGAAAGTCTCTAGAATGTCGAAACCTTCAGAGAGATATGAGTTCCTACATGAGCAAGATTTTGAATCTTGCTTAGTGGGGTAGTGATCTGGTGATGATCCTAGAAGCTACGAAGAAGCAATACTAGATAAAGATTCAGGAAAATGGCTAGAAGCGATGGATTCTGAGATAGAATCAATGTATGCCAATCAAGTATGGCGCTTGTGGCACACTAGGGGAATAGTTCTATAGGTTGTAAATGGGTCTACAAGAGAAAGTTGGCAAGGAGGGGAGGTAAAGACCTTCAAAGCTCGACTGGGGGCGAAAGGTTTATACAGAAACAAGGATTGGATTATGAGGAAACCTTTCTGTTGTAGCTATGATTAAATCATCCGTATAAGAGCCATCGCAGCATACCATGATTATGAAATTTGGCAGATGGATGTCAAAACAGCTTTCCTGAATGGGTTTATTGAGGAAAACATCTATATGGAACAACCGATAGGTTTGTATCCTCTGCTGAAAGACGTAAGGTATGCAAATTGCAACGATCCATTTATGGATTGAAGCAAGCTTCAAGAAGTTGGAACATTCAATTTGACAACATAATCAAATCGTTTGGTTGTCAAGAATCCGAATGAGCCCTGTGTATAAATGGGTGTAAAGATCATGCCATCACGTTTCTCATATTATATGTAGATGACATACTTTGATGGGAAATGAATAGGCATGATGACAGAGGTTAAGGTTTGGTTGTCCAAAACCTTCTCGATGAAAGACTTAGGAGAAGCGACATAGTCATTGGCATTCGTGTCTATAGAGATAGAACGAAAGGGTAATTGGATTATCCCAAAAATTGTACATAGAGAAAATGCAAAAAGATTTAGCATGGAGAACTCTAAGAGAGGTCTCTTGCCCTTCACTCACGGTCTTCATCTTTCTAAGGAGATGGGTCCAAAGACCGATGAAGCGCGGCAGCGAATGCGTAATGTGCCTTATGCATCTACCGTAGGTAGCTTAATGTACGCAATGCTATGTACAAGACCTGATATAGCTTATGCTGTAAGTGTTACGAGCAGATATCAGTCAAACCCAGGGGAGAGAAACATTAGCGGTTGTAAAATCGATCCTTAAGTACTTGAGAAGAACTAAGGATCTAGTTTTGAGTTATGGATGTTCCGAGTTAAACATTCAAGGATACTCGATTCTGATTTTCAATCAGATATTGATGATAGAAAGTCTACGTCAGGGTACATTTTATAGTAATGGAGGTGCTGTTAGTTGGAAAACTTCCAAACAGACAACCACAGCTAACTCCACACAGAAGCGAATACATTGCTACTTCAGAAGCAGCGAAGGAGGCTGTTTGGATGCGAAAGTTCGTAATTGAACTTGGTGTGGTTCGAACATGGCTTACCCGATAAGCATGTTCTGTGACAATACTGGAGCTATTGCCCAGGCAAATGAACCAAGGGCACACCAAAAATCCAAACACATTCAGCGTAAGTATCAACATTTTGAGATAATCGTTGGAGCTGGAGAGTTTTGATTCTGAAGACTCCTTAGCAGAAAATGTAGCTGATCCACTGACTAAGGCGATGACACTGAAGCAATTGGAGCATCATCTTAAGAAGATGGGTATGAGATACAACATCAAATGGCTTTAGTGCAAGTGGGAGTTTGTTAGTGTATATAGTGTATGCCCTAGAAACCATTCGTTTGTCGGTTTCAGAGCATTTTATCTATATCTATATATATCATAATAATGGAAGAAGAGTTCTTCATCATTATATAAATTGCTTCCTTTATCAGTCATGCATTTAAAATAAAGTATGTATAGAATTGTGCAGATGATTCATTTAATCGGTAAATGAATTATCGAAAAGGGTTCTACGGAGCAATATAATTTGGGCAAATATATGCACAGTTGGATATCGGATGCTTTCAAAAGATATCATGAGTTGATATAAGTACGGATGACGATGATAGTGTCAATGGGGCATTGGTATGGATTAATGGTTGGTGAACTGTTTTCGAACGTGACCAAATAAAGACAAATCACTTGGAAAAGCATGTAGTCAATGATTTTCGTTTGGTTATATCAGTGTACGATGTGTCCTTTGACCTGAGACATTGTAGTCGGATCCGATAGGATGCGTATGGTTATACGGTGTATAAGTACGAGACTAATCATGTTTCGATAATAAAGCCTATTTGGTCAGCGTGTCATATGCGGAAATGAACGAGGTCAAGAGGGGATCCATTGACTCGAAAATATAGGATCAGGAATACCGCTTCGAGTTCCTAGACGAACATCGATAAATGTCGAAAAACAGAATCTCTGGCCAGAGTCTATTATTAGTCATACAAAAGCAAGTTTGTGATGACAAGTTCCGGACATATGATCGACGATTCGGTAGAAGATCGAGTTTAGGATTTTGACGTTCATGAATCCATGCTCGATCAGGATATCTCAATGGAGGGACTTTACCTGCTTGGTACGTATGATCTGAAATGGGTTTGATGAAGTATTTCTTCATCGTGGTTAGGGACTATGGCACATTGCTAGATGTTTACCATAGCGTTGGGCTCAGATAGGTTTCCAGATTCATCCAGAACCGGCTCACAGCTAATCCACGGTGGACCTACTGGTCACACCAATAGCCTGAGAAGTTAGAGAATGATGAGAGAGAGAAATGATTATCCGAAGAGGGCTAGCACCTCGAGGGTAAAACCGGATTTCTATGGTAATAGTTACATAGAAACTATTTGTGACATTTTAAGGATTAAATGGTCAAGCAATAATTAATTATATTAATATTTAATCTAAAGTTAAATTAAACTTAAAGTGTTAAGATAATGAGATGAACAAAAATAACCCTTAATAGTTAAGGGTTAAAAGGTAACTTTATGGGTTGTCATTGAAACTAGTTTAGTTTACATGGGCCCTTGAATAATATTGTTATTCAAATGGTAGCATAATAAATTATGGGTCCCTTATAAAATAAGATTTTATTGGGCTTGAGAGAAAAATAAATAATGCAAAATTGCCAAGTAATATAAATGCAAAAGATTGCATTTTTGTTCAGACCACACATTGTTCACTCAAAGCAAAACCAAAACTCTCTCTAAAAGCCACGACCACTCTCTAAACCTCTCAAGGTGGTGTTAAAGTGTGGAGGTCTCATTACTTTGAGGCTAATCTTCATCAATCCAAAGCAAAGGAGTAGGTATAATCTCTTTTCCAAGCTTTGTTTGAAAATCGGTTTTAGAATCCATGCTTTCATGCTTTCATTCTCCATCTCCACTACTCTTCATGCATGCTGATTCTTTCACAGCCGACCTATACAGAGTATACCAGAGAAGGGGCGAGCCACTGAGAGAGTATGTCAATAGGTTCAACAAAGAGAAGATCTCCATCCCTGCATGTAATCCCGAGACAGTCGTGGATGCCTTCAGGAAGGGTCTCCTCCTGGACGGAGAACTATACAAAGAGCTTACAAAGCTGGGTTGCACCACAATGGAAGACGCCCTGGCCCGGGCAGTGATCGAGATAAGATGGGAGGAGGATGAGATAAACCAGACGGTTCACTCTAGATACTATTCAAGGCAGAATGACAGAAAGCCAGAGCACAGGCTAGCGAAGCACCGCTACCAACCCCCAGCATGTAATTCGAGCAAAATCAGAAAACCATACGATCGCCAGCCAACGAGAACCGAAAGCAGATAGTTCGGATCGAACCTGTACAAAATACCTGAATATAGCCTTAATGTCAAACCAATCCAGGTCGTCGCGATTATGAAAGGAATGGGATCCACCGTTAAGTGGCCAGGCAAGCTCAACCCCGAGGCAAGGAGAGACAAGACTAAATGGTGCGAGTTCCACGGTGATCATGGGCACAACACCGCAGACTGTATCGCCTTGCAGCTAGAGGTCGTTGCACTTCTAAAGAGGGGACATCTCCGAGATTTGCTAACTGATAAAGGGAAGAACACCATTAGCCACAAAAGTTCAAAAGAACCATCACCACCTCCGCGAGAACCCACACCAAAAGGATTTTGCTCACTCATCTCCGGAGGATCAGAGATCAGTGTGGTAAGTTATTCATCAGCCAAGCGATATGCCAGAACCAACCACCACCATTAAGTCTAGTCCAATCCATCCATCCGGTCTCACGGTCACACACCTATCAGGTAATTCAATTTGAAGATGCTGAGCCAGTCACCTTGGCCGCTCCTAATCACGATGCTCTAGTCGTCTCCCTACAGATCGCCAACATCCTAGTGAAAAGAGTATTCGTAGATGGAGGCTCTTCAACAAACATCTTATTCCTCGAAGTAGTGAAGGCTATGGGACTGGAAGAGGTAAACATCAACAGGCGGCCGACACTGCTAGTGGGTTTCAGCTCTGAGCAAAAGTATATTATCGGGGAGATCATCCTCCCTATCTACGCCGATGGAGTGAACAAACAGACCGTTTTTTTGGTAATCAACTGCCCCTAACCCTACAACGTCATCTTGGGCTGACCTTGGATCCAGGACATGCGGGCAGTCCCATCTACCTTCCACCAGACGATCAGGTTTCCAACCAAGTGGGAGGTACGAGAGATCAAAGATGACCCCAAAACTTTCAGAGATTGCTACAAGAATGCCTTCAAAGGCAAGTGTAACTCTTCATAGCAATTACAGTCTCATCCAACCCCTCCGACCGAGCCGGATCAACCATCTATGGAAAAGTTGGATGAAGTACAGATACATCCGGACGACCCCAAGAGAAAGACACACATAGGGTCCGGCCTCAAGCCCGAGACAAGAGAGAAGCTGATAGAATTCCTCAAACAAAACGAAGACTGTTTCGCTTAGTCCCACGCCGACATGACCGGAGTCAGTCCAGAAGCAATGGTCCACCAGCTCAAGGTAGACCCAGATCACCCACCAGTGAAGCAGAAGAGAAGGAAATTCGCACCAGAGCGTAACCAAATTGTCAATGAAGAGGTCGAGAAGCTACTGAGCAATGGTATGATCAAAGAGGTCCACTACCCCGAATGGCTAGCGAATGTCGTGGTCGTAAAGAAAAAGAACGGAAAGTGGAGAGTGTGCATCGATTTCACTGACTTAAATAAAGCCTGCCTCAAGGACTCCTTCCGCTCCCATATATCAACATGATGGTTGATGCGACTGCAGGTCACGAACTCCTTAGTTTCATAGACGCCTTCTCAGGATACAACCAGATCTTGATACACCCAGACGACCAAGAAAAGACAGCCTTCATCATGGAAAGGGGGACCTATTGCTATAAGGTAATGCCATTCGGCCTCAAGAACGCCTGGGCCACCTACCAGCGGCTGGTAAATAAGATGTTCGCCGAGTGTCTTGGAGACACCATGGAGGTATACATCGACGACATGCTCGTCAAGTCACTGATAGCCAAACAGTACCTCGACCACCTTAGCCAAACATTCGCCGTCCTCAGGAAGTACAACATGAAGCTAAATCTAGCCAAGTGCTCATTCGGGGTCTCGTCAGGTAAGTTCTTAGGCTACATAGTGACTCAGCATAGAAGCCAACCCTGACCAAATCAGAGCAATCATTAGCATACCGTCTCCAACTTATATCAAAGACGTTCAACGCCTGGCAGGACAGGTTGCTGGCTTGAGCTGCTTCATCTCCAGATCAGCCGACAAGTGCCATCTCTTTTTCCATGCTCTCAAGAAGTCCAAGAAGTTTGAGTGGACCGTCTCTTGCGAAGTAGCCTTGCAACAGCTGAAAAGGTACCTGACCTCCCCTCCGCTCCTCTCCAAACCTGTGGACGGGGAGAAGCTCTACTTTTACATAGCGGTCTCAAAGACAGCCATCTCAACAGTACTTGTTCGGGAAGAAGAAACGAAGCAGTTGCCAGTCTATTATGTAAGCAAGTCACTCCTTAACGTAGAAAAACGGTACAGTCAGCTGGAAAAATTAGCCCTCGCCCTCATCCATGCATGCAGGAAGCTCAGGCCATACTTCCAATGTCACTCAATAGTTATACTCACCTCTTTCCCACTCAAGAAGATACTGCACAAACCAGAGCTATCAGACCGACTCCTACAGTGGACAGTAGAGCTCAGTGAGTTCGACATATCATACCAGCCTCGCACCGCCGTCAAGTCCCAGGCACTAGCTGATTTCACCCCGAATACCACCACCCAAGCAGAGAGTGAGTTGTTATGCATGAACAGCAGACCACCCTCCAAGTGGACTCTCTTAGTGGACGGCTCTAGTAACGTAAATGGAAGCAGATTTGGATTAGTATTGATTGCGCTAGAAGGAGACATGATCCAACGGGCAATACGGTGTGGGTTCAAGTGCACAAACAACGAAGCCGAATATGAGGCCCTCATAGCTGGACTTTCCTTAGCCAAAGAAATTGGAGCAAAGAGACTAGAGGTGAAGTTTGATTCCCAGCTCGTGGTCAGTCAACTGCAAGGCACGTATCAAGCACACGACTCAAAGATGACATCTAACTTGAGCATGGTCAAGGAGCTACAGGCCCAATTCGATGAGTTCTCCATCGTCCAAATCCCTAGAGCGAAAAACTCCCACGCTGATGCCCTTGCCAACCTCGGTTCAGCCCTCAAATATTCTTCCCAGTCATCCATCCCTCTATTATTCATGCAGTGGCTCACCAACTGGAAGGAACAACAACCAAACAAGCTGCCCGAGGAAGCCATGGGTGTTGAACTAGCCGACTACTGGATGACTCCTATAGTGAGATACTTGGAACACGACAAACTCCCAGCCGACAAGAACGAGTCACGACGACTAAAAGCAAGAGCCGCCAGATTCACCATACATGAAGGCCAACTCCTTAGAAAGTCATTCTCGGGCCCCTATCTCAAGTGCACAAGCCCAGAAGAGGCCCAACGTGTCCTTGCCGAGCTACATGAAGGCGAATGTGGAAACCATGCTGGGGAACGTAGCCTTGCACACCAGGTGATCACTGCTAGATATTACTAGCTAATAATACGCACCGATTCGGCTGTTTATGTGAAGAAGTGCGACAGTTGTCAAAGGTTTGCTCATGTCTCACACCTCCCACCAAAGCGACTCCATTCCATCCTCACACCCTGGCCCTTTATGAAGTGGGGAATTGACATCGTTGGAAAGCTACCGACTGCACCCGGACAGCGAGTTTTCATGTTAGCTGTGACAGACTACTTTACCAAGTGGATTAAAGCCGAAGCCTTCGCACAAGTCAGAGACCGAGAAGTAAAAGCCTTCATCTGGAAGAATGTCATCTGCAGGTTCAGGATACCGAAGGAGATCGTCACCGACAATGGATCACAGTTCATCAGTTCAGGCTTCAGGGATTTCTGTGACGTGTGGGGAATAAAACTGAGCTTCTCAACCCCCTGCAACCCCCAGTCTAACGGCCAGGCCGAGTTGTCAAACAAGACCATTATTCAGACATTAAAGAAGCAGTTACAGAAAGCTAAGGGTGCGTGGGCAGATGAACTACCCGAAGTCCTTTGGTCATACCGAACCACGGCCCGCTCGTCAACGGACGAGACCCCCTTCTCCCTCACATACGGTTCGGAAGTGGTCATCCCAGCCGAAGTATCAGTCCCGTCCACCAGGCTCCAATGGACAGACGAAGAATCAAATAGCCAGAACCTTTGCCAGAACCTGGACACCACCGACGAGCTGCACGAACGACCGAGCATCCACAACGTAGTCTACTAGCAACAGGCCACCCGTCACTACAACCGCAACGTAAGGATCCGCACTTTCAAGATAGGCGATTGGGTCCTCTGCAAGGTCTTCCAAAACACTAAGGAGATCAACTTTGGTAAACTCGATCCCACTTGGGAAGGCCCCTACAAGGTAACTAAAGAAGCAGGAAAGGGTGCTTACAAACTCCAAACCACTGAGGGCAAAGACATCAGCAACAGTTGGAATGTAGTTCACCTCAAACGCTACTATTTCTAGGTGAACTTATCTTTTTTCTGTTTTCCTTTTTTATTTTAAAGGGATGAGTGGGCCTATCCACCTCCTCTTAGACAGTCGGCCTCATGGCCAAATATTAATGAAGTCTTATTCAGAAATTTTTCGTCTACAAATCGACTCCGGTCGATCAATTATTTGTAGCACCTTTAGATCGGCCATGCCCGATCCACATAATTGCACCTTCGAATCGATCTTGCTCGATTCACGATTACACCTTCAGATCGGCCCTGCCCGATTTGCCAATAACACCTTCGAATCAACCCCGCTCGATTCACAAAAACACCTTCGAATCGACCCTGCTCAATTCACAGAATCACCTTCGATCGATCCCGCCCGATCCACGAAATTACACCATCAAATCGGCTCAGCCCGATCTATGATTCACACCTTCAAGTCGACCCTGTCCGACCCAAGAATTCACATCCGGATTGACTTCTTTCAATCCAAGACTTCGTACTCGATCGGCCAGACCGAGTGAATGGTTCTTACACCTGCAATAAACAAAGCACCAACCTAGCCCAACATAAGACCTACGTGCCTTAGCCACTGGGCCACACTAAATTAACAAACACAACTTGGTACATCTACAAGTAAAGAAACAATGAACTCACTCATCCATGAAGAAAGCATTAGAAGTTAGAACAATCGAGTATAATACATACAGCCTGAAACGGCTCAGTTCAGAATACAAAAAACGGCACACACGCCAAGAAAAAGGGCATCGCATGCCCTAAAGTACATAAAGGAAAAACTAAGCTAAGTATCAGTACGAGTGGCCTCCTCCATCTCCGACTTGGTCATCATGTCTGCATCGCCAGCACCCGTCCTAGCAGCCCGATCGCTCACATCCCCAACACCCGATGACCCCAGCTGACTAGCAAAATCAGGCATCTGCTTCTCGTCCTGCCCCCCCGGATGACTGTCTTCCTCTTCCAGCATCTCACGCATGAGCTAGATGTCTCCGTCCGGATCCCAGTGAGAGGTCTTCCCTTCCTTGAACTCAAGCATGAGTTTACCCCGGGCCTTGATAATAGCGTCATCAGCGATGGAAATACACTGCTCCCTAAGAGACTCGATCTCTACGGTCTTCTCGGCCAACTCACGCCTCAACTTCTCCAACTCACGCTCGCTATCCCTCAGACGCTGCTGAAACTCTTGCTCGGCCTTCCAGGCTACTGCCTCTTTCTGGCGCAAGCTAGTGTTCGCCTTGGATACATCTTGTATCCTCTTCTCCTGCGCCACCACAGATTTCCTAAGGTGAAGACTACTCGTGAGTGCCTGCACAACGAAGTATTGTCATCAATACGAAAGTAAGGAGCTAAATAGAACAAAACTACTGTCATACCTGTAAAGCGCGGGATACTCCCTAATCAGCAGCAGCAACTATGCCCATCTAGTTCAGACGCGCCTCGTCTGCCGGAAACAAGAACGAGTCGGCTAACTTGCTCATGGATGTCGCGTCAAAGCAGGTCTACGCGGTAGCTAGAATTCTAAATGTAATCGTCTCGGCATCCTTATCCATTACCGCAGTCTAGGACAATCCAGCTCCGGCCGCAGGCTGCTAACTCAGCGGCATCGCTAATACGTCCTCTGCCCTCTTGTCCTCCCTAGCCAAAAACTCCCTCCTCCTCTTCTCCCGACGCCGGGCGATGGACTCGCTCGCACTCGAGACGGTCAACTTCTTCATCAATGATTCTGCAAGCGCAAACTCTCCAATGGTTAGTGGGTTTAGCTCGGACTCACCAAAAATGATATGATTGCAGTATCGACTCAGAAGCACATCCCAAGTCTGCTTCAGCGAGGGGAAGGGAGTACCTCGTTAGATCGCCTCTACTCCAACCCAAAGAATGCTGGACCTCAGGTTGGACTCTGCTAGCACAACTCGCCACTCCCTCTACTCCGACCGGGATGGCTAACACCTTCTGGGTCGCAACGTCCAAGCCGTCTCCGCTCTGCCCAGCCCAATTGTACTCAAGCTCTGCAAACAAAAAACGCAATCAAGATTTAGTAATCAAAGTACAAAAGAAACAGCTAAGTGCTCACCGGTAGCTCGCCAGCCGCTCGGGATCTCGCCCTGTCCCCTCTCTCCAAAGACAGCCTGACCCCTCCGAAAGAAGTATCGGTCCTCCCAGTTTTTATCGCTGGATCGCAAATCGATCACCAGGTGAGACCGATCATGCCTTAAGTTCAACAGATACCGACCCTTCTCCTTATCATTCTCCTTCAGGAAGTACGAGTATAACAGCTCGTGTAGCTCGAACCTCACCTAGTTCCGAACACACAGATCCTCCAGAGCCATCAGCAATCTCCAACCATTCGGCATGAGCTGAGACAAGGCAATCATGAAGTGGTTCAACACCTCCCAGACTAGGCGAGGAACAGGTAGCCTCAATCCATCATGGAACCACTTCTCATAAACACTAACCCAGCCCGGTGCCTCCCAGTCAACCCACTTGTATGACCGCGGCGCCTGGATCTCAACCAAATTTGGAATGTGATACAGAGTCCGGATGCGCCACACATCATTGTCCTTTAGCACGGGCGGATAATCCCTACTCAAAATCCCACTGCCCTGTTGGCTTGGCTCTTCCTTAGAGCTGCTATTGGAAGAAGACGGACTACCTGCTCCTTTGAAGTCTTCCCCACTTCTCCCATGCCTGCTCGAACCACTCGGGTCGGGAGTACTCATACTCGGGGCAGCTATACTAACTCCAATCGATACCCCAATCGGAACACCCCCTTCGGGCATCATCACTATGGTCGTGGCACACTCATACTCATCCCCTGGGTCTGCCACAATCCCGCTCGAACTAGCTGATTCGGAATCTGACATGTTGGCTTGATCGCCCAACCTGACCGATCAACTCAAGCCTTGCTCCTGACTCCCAAAAATTCTAAGTGTCAAGCAACCGCTCGGCTTGAGCTATCGACCGAACAAGCCCAGAAACACAGTTATCACTCGCCCGTCAATACCGGTCGACCTACTCGGAAACAAGTTCACTCCTAAACCCTGGTCGACCCTCCCTGCTGACTGACCCGATCCTAGATTCAAGTCTTCTTTCGCTCACCCCAAGTAACCAACTTGCCTTCAAATTCAACACTAAGCCTATTCGCCCTTGCTCACCAATTCGCCAACTCAAAATCACTCGTTCGGTCTGGATGACTAACCACCTCTTTAGTCCACTTCGCACTCCCCCTCGCCACTCAGTCGGATGGACCAAACGACCTATCTCCCCCACAACTCCAAGCTATCACACTATTCGGTCAGGCAGACCGACCGAACCAAATTGTACCTAACTTGACTTCGTTTTCCCTTTTCCCAAAAATAGCCAAAAAACCGGAGAAAAATGCAACTCACCGGAAACCAAAAATCCAAGCCTATTCTGGAAAATCAAAACACTAACACTTCCAAACGCCTCAAAAAACAATTGAAATTACACAAACTCCACCCTATTCTCCAAAAACTCAGCAAAACTACCACAAACAAAAACAAAAGAAACGAATAGACAGCGCAAAAAGATGTTTACCATGAAGAAAAACCAAAGCCTGTAAAGAAGAACTGCTGCTGCTGAAGAAAAACCAAAACGAAGGCGAAAGAAAAAGAAAAGCAAGTTTTTTGTAGGAAAAACGATGAAAAATGCGAATGGGAGACGAACAATCCGCACATTCGCTTTTAAAAGGAAAGTCTGAAAGACTGAGACACGTGGCGGCCCGCGATTGGACAGGAGTCAGCGCGTCTTTTCATTTTCCCGCCTTGAAAACCAGAAGGGGATTGCCACCGTACACGTGGTAGGGATCCAGGCAATCTTGGAAACTACAACAGAAGCCATTCTCCATCGTTCTGCCTTCCCGACCGAGCCAGCACGCGACTACCAAAATGGACCCAATAGGCCCCATGATTCACAAGCCAGTGCGAGCCTCCCAACTGGTCGACCAGCTTGGAACGGCCCGACCCGAGCTCTCTGTAGGTAAAAAAGGTGGAGGCCTCGCCCATTCATCCTTCCATAGCGGACGAACGGACAGCCAATGGTGAAGACTTGCACATCTCCATTCGATCGCCTGAGCACCCTGACCGATCGAACACATTTGGCTTGTGCCCTTATTCATTCGGCCTAGCCTGCCGAGCGGATATCGCGGCAACAGGCACCTCATCTCTCAGTCGACAGGACGTATTGAACGAGCTCGTGAGCCCCCGAAGGCTCGTTGTCTATCCCTTCGTCCCTTCACACCGATCAGGCACACCACTCAAATGATGTTATACTCCGGATCGGTAATGGATATCGAACGACCCCGACCAAAGATCACCTGCAACGATCGGATCAGCCACACCAACAATCAGCCGTCTAGGAAGGAAGATCGAGTGCCCCTCGATCACTTCCTACTCTCTGACTTAAGAAACTCTTAACTCAGAGAGTGGGGGGCAAACTGTTAGGGCCAAAAATTGTCCTTGGCCCAAATAGAAAAACGGGCCTGACAGTAATAGAGCCAAGCCCAATTATGATGCGACCCAATCCAGCCCAATTATGATGCGACCCAATCCAGATTAGGTCCATTTGATACAAGATACAGCCGGCCTAAACCACCTGGGCACGAGCCTCCTAATCCCAGTCCATTCCCTAGGTCCATGGACGAATCCAGAGCCCATGGCCCCCTTACAATATTTTCCTATTCCTAAACAATCTCCTATTCGAGGTCACCATCCCATTCAGAAAACTTTCCTACTCGAAGTTACTTTCTTGATCGGGATCACCTTCCTATCCTGACACTGGTAAGACAGCTCACCACCGCCCTAATTCCTCTAGGGTTTGCATCAGAGTCATACTAGGACTCCTACTCCCACCAGGATTGGGAGACCAGACAGTCACTATACAAGCAAAGGCCAGCCCTCTTAGAAGACACATTACATTACACCTTCACACCCGAAGCTCCTACTTGAGAGCTCCACATCACTACGGTAGTCACAGTCTCTTACTAGACTTTCGGTAACCTCTCTACTCCCTAGCCCTCACTATACTAGCCTCTTTTGGCCTTGTTGACTTGAGCGTTGGAGTGCCTACGGCTAACATCACCTCGGTGTTTTCCGTTCGCTTCACGCTTGTTTCTCTACGTGTGCAGGTGCAGCGGATAGCTAGTGGCCTCAACCTCACGGGATCAGACCCCCCTTCCGTACAGGTAGATTTTTACGTCTACAATGCATATCACTGTTTTACGATAAGAGACTTGCTTTTGTTTATCGGGGGTTTGTTTTTGTGTCTCCTTTCTTGAACCCATTAGACTATTTGGTGTTGGTGTTGGTGGTGGAGTCTCCATTGTTGAGCAGTAAAGAAAGCAAAAGCCAAAACAAAAATCTTCAGGATTTTGAGGGGAAAAAGGAGGATGGAGGTGAAAATCTCAATGGGTTTCATAGGGGTGACAGAGTGGTTTATAATTATACAGAATAAATAAACAATGAAAGATTAATCAGTTTTAGAGAACGAAATCAGAAATTTGATAGTCAAGAAGTTTCTATTTTCTATGGAAAAATGGCTTTTTAAATAATACATGTATATGTAAACGACACGTCGTGTTTTATAGTATAATTTGGACGGTGTGTCGTGTATAAACGCATAACATGTCTGTTGTAAATTTGTTTTTTGTTTTTTTAAATAATAAACAGTTAAATAAAATAGGATAATAATAGCGGAATTCGATTTCTTTTTAAACGGAAACCCACTCCAAAATGACAACGATGAACAACTTCCCTTCCGATTATAAACTCTGCTACTCCAATTGCTATTACTTTATTTCAGTTTCTGAGATGATTTGTTCGTCTTCTCTGCTTCATGGGTCTGAAGAATCCTTGCCTTATCAGATTGCGTGCCTCTTAAGGTATTTTTGATCCATTCTATGTAAAAAAATTTGCAATCTTTTGAAAAGAATCGACTAATTAGTAAGTTTATTTCAGTTTTCTGGTAATATTTTCATGTTTAGGAGTGCTTTTTTTTTTTTTGGTATGTTTTTTAGGGTTCTTTAGTTCCATTGAAACTTAGAAGTAAAGAAATAGCACCCAAGTAAGAATAATTGCTCGTAATTAAAAGGGAATATCCATCCCTGTTTTTAATCTAGGAATATGTTAGGTGGAACGATCTTAAATGGTTAAAAAGGCTAAAATAGGATAATATTAATGAAGGGATTTATTTATTTATTTTTTTTTTTGCTTAAGAAATTGAAACAAGGAGCATCTATGAGAAATTGAACCGTTTACACATCGGCTTTTGGCAAGTGGATGATCATTGTTGTTTTAAATTTTCATGCCACCGTTCTTAGTGTATTGTAACTATTTATATATGGAAAGAATTTGTATAATTTACTTGATTTTGTTGTTATATGGGTTTAGTTCAATTTAGGCTCGTTCATTACTCAGAATGGAGTGTCTAGTTAGAACATTAACCCTTTGTTAGACTGATTTAATGAGAAATATGGCATTTACTATTACTAACCAAGTTTAAGATAATCTAATCTCACAGGCAAACAACGTGAGATGTTGTTTGCTAGTGCCAGATTTCTTTTGTTACATATATAGCATGATAATCAAGTAGATAAACATTTGTGACGCAAGATAAACGTCATTGTTTTCTCCTTAAACATGTCGCTGTATATAGCCTTACATATGTATAGAGGAGTATAAAATATAGGCACATGGTAAGTATAGAGAGGGGTAAATGAGTGATTGGAAGAGTGAGAAGGAATCATCATATTTTGCATCTCATTTTAGAGTAGTTGAAGCTTTGGGGACGTCGTCAAAACGCCAAAATCTTTAAGTTCAGTGGAATTGATCAAAATGAGAAACTTTCAAGTCAGTGAGGTGAGGAATGAGACAAAAGTTCTGATCACCTTATTGCTTCAAATTATTTTATACAGAATTGGTAAAGGAAATGTGTATGGTATTCTATTTAGTAAATTGTTTGAGGATGATTTTGCAATGATTGCACCTAGCATATTTGATAAATTAACAACCTTTTATGCCTCCATTTGCATGTTAGGGAACTAGGATGATTGATCTAGGATGGATCTTAATCTTCTGATGAGGAAGTTTGTCTGCGAAATGTCTTTTATTAGAGCAAATGCTAGATGAATATCATTTAAAGAGTTTTCAATCATTACCAAAACTATGAAGCTTGAAAATGATATGCTATGTTATGTCTTGAAGATAATAGAGATTGAGGAATAGGGAACAATTGCTTACAGGCTTGAAAGTTCTAACAAAAAGGTAGCTTGTTACCATGAAATTCTGAAGAGTGGCACGAACTATTCTACTCTTCTCTTTTTGGGCCTAAACCACAATTGAACAGGATTATCGCTTTGCTGATTATGGTCAGGCGCCAGATGCATTGCCATCTCTGGCAGCTATCAAGTCTCAGTCGCATGTTCATGGATTGCCAGCTTTCTCCTCTTTTGTTGGTTCTCCATCGTCTCTACAGCAAGGGGGTGATTGCAGTTTATCACAGACTTACCATCAACAATCACAGTTTGAGGAATTGGCATTTTGGCAGGTGGGTTTGGTATTCTGAATTTCATGAAACTTTTGGCTCTTTGATAGTCATATTTATTTTTATTATTTAAAATTTGCAGCATTCTGCCACTTTTTATAAGTTGAGAAAACAATTAGAATACTGAATATGTGGTTTCTTATTTTATATCGTTAATCAGTGTCCTATTTAACCTGTTGAAGGACAGCTGCAATTATATCTTTTAACCATAATGTCCACTTTTGTTTGGCGGGTTTTTCCTAAGCAAAGTCAGGAGCATGATATCCAGATTCTACTGTGTAGTCTTAAGCTTGTGTGCTATCTTCTTATTCTCCATCATCTCTTCCCCCTCCAAAAAAAAAAAAAGGACATGTTTGTCCAATCCAGAATAGCACAATTGCCCAGGCATGGTTTGGCTCTGATGTAGGACAGATTTTCTTAAATTACGATTATATTTTGTTTCCTTTTCTTATTTTATTTTCGAATTTTAATTAGGATTTTCTATTTGGAAGTTTAATTGTTTTAGGATTTTAGGCAAATTAGAAAATATTGTTTTACTAAATTTTTGCTTTATTATTTTATAATTACTTGTTCTAGTAGGATTAGTTTAGAGTAAATAGGCATTTGCGAATTGTTTTCACGTGGATTCCAGGTTTTCTCATGGATTCAAGCCCTCTCGTGGATAGAGCATAACTAGAGCCTATCCTATTCTGCTGTGTCAGGTTATTCATTTCCTTGGCTGCTAACCAACTCTGGATCTTATATTTGGGGCACAGCTCTCAAAATGCAGTATGATGTGACAGATATATAGGCCTTTCCTTCTATTATGAATATATAGAAGCATAGCACAAATATTGCATAAATTTTATGCCTTTGTTGCACATATTTTGCTTAGTTATTTATTCCAATTGTTTGATGCTCATGCAGTCATTGCAGAAGCAGCAAAATAACATAGCGCTCCCAGGGAGCCTCTATTCTCAGCCACTGCAGCAGCATCACAGAAACATTGAGCCTCTAAAGGTTCTAAATTCACAAACAATTTATTAATTTTTTGTTTTGCATTATTTTTTTAGTTTCTGACTCTAGAAGTTGTATACTCATAGCCATCACACAAGCAGCATATAAGCATGGAGCCACCATTCTCAGTTTCAACAGCAGAATCTCAATTTCACTGAGCGTCCACTGAAGGTTATTAATACAAAAAAATTTCATTTCATGATTCTTGAGGTTTACAAATTCATTTGTTTCTCTAATGATGATTAGTTCAAAGAACTTATGGTACATAATACAGAAACTCATATGAACTTGAAAAATTGTAGCTAGGCAGGTGTTTGACTATTTTATTTTCTTCTATTTGACAGATGGGAGAAGAACATTCTCAAGAAGTTCCTCATGCCATCAGCCCCTCACCATATGAGTCACAATCACAGCAGTTAATTCTTCCTGGCTTGAGGATCAATGAAGGAAAATCTGTTAGCCAGAAGCCTCCAACATTTAGTAGTGGGCAGTATCTCCCTCAAAGAGGTTTTGACAAAGGGAAAGAGAAGGTAACTTCATTTTCTACTGATGTGGACAACTTGACATATGCAATAAATGAACGACTAGCTCTAGAATTGTCCAGGAGTGGGGGTCGATCAAATGCTTTGTATTCTGTTAGTCCGGAGCTAGAATACATTCATCAGACTCCTGCTGTGAGAACTGATATTACATTGGATAGAGAAATTGAGGATTCAGGAAGCAATTCCCTGATGGAACTCATGGAGGTGCTAAAAGAATGTAGCCCTCCAGGACCAGATATTCCTGATCCATATGGAGACTCTAATGGGCCATTGTTTGATATCCCTTTCTTTTCCAGGATCACCGGGCTTTCTGGCTTGTCAGGTCCTGTTAGCAGTTTGGAGAATTTCCCTTTGCCATGTAATGCTAAGGATTTGCACTGAGAAAAGGCAAACAAGTATTGAACATGAACAGGAAAAGACGGATTTTTAAAGATGATGATCTTTAGCTGTTAATAAATTTAGAGGTTACATACACAGAGTAGAAGTTCCAGCTTTCTTCCTGTGGATTTATTTGAAGCTTTTGGAACCATCAGTACCCAGAATTTTAGTGCTTATATGAATTTCTTTGCTTTCAAACTGTGTTTCAGCAATTTTATGCGTTGCGTGTGCGTGTGTCACAAATTGTCTATGTTTTCATTGATCTGGTAATAAATTTAGAGGTTACCCATGAACGAGGTCAGTGAAAGTGCTTCTTACAGAAGTCCTATAATTCACAAATAATGAAAAAAAAATATTGAAATTCAAAGAAAAGGACTTAATGTGAGGAAACATAAGGGAGGCTTGTTTTTATTATGAATTATTATTATTGACTGACTAATGATAGAGGATCAAACACTTTTTATGTTAGCTTGGAAAAAAGATAACATGAGTATAAATTCCAACTTTTATTTGTTTAGTTATTATTTAAAATAATTATGGCATAAGCAGAATTTAACACTTTTTCCATTTAAATAATACCAAATCCAAAAGCAAATTTATGATATGAAAATATCATTCTCACCCTAAAAATATATATAAGCATAGGTCAACCCTAGCACCCGTATCTTTTAAATCACAACCCACATCTTTTGCCTATAATTAATAAAAAAAATTTCATAAATATGAAATATAATTTGTAATTTTTACGTTTGGTCATTAATAAAAATATTCTAAATTTTTACCATAATTTCAAAACCCTACTTCTCTCCTTCTCAAATATCTCGATTTCTCTCCACCAACGACAACGACAACAACAAAATAGCAAGGATCAGTCCACGTCCAATCCCCGGAACCTTTCTAGGAAAGAAGGAAAATTTTGTATCCAGATGAAGTGGTTTCTGTTAGAGTTTTGAATATCCAATACAATTCGATAATTTTATTTATTTCTACGCAGTATTTTGTTTAATTGACCCAGTATCTAGAGCTGACATAAATATACTTTGTGATGCTCGAAACCACAGTTTTAGCAGAATTTAATTTACATCATGTGTCCGTAATTTATATATTAAAGTAATATTCATTCATATACCTCTTTACACAATAATAAAAACTGTGAAGAAAACTTTTACTTGAAAACAATAATCAATATGCAACAGCTGCCCTATCATTTTCAAGTTATTTGTTACATACATAAGTTTAACTATACGCTAATTGTTAGAATGATTTTAAAATATTCACTTAGTCACTCCAATATCTTAAGGTAAACTTAAACATATATTTGTGATCAATATTTCACTTAAGTCACTCCAATATCTTAAACCAAACCTGAGATAGATATACGGGTATCTAAACATTAAATAATTATAATATTCATTAGTAAATATTATCTTTGTAAGCATAAATTACTCGTAACCATAAGTTCAAAAATAGCAATATATATAATTATTCATTGGATTATCACATCACATAATGTGATTGTAAGAAGACTGCATTATGTTATGTCGTTGAGGAGTGATCAATCTTGCTCAATTGAAAAACACAATTTGGTCTAGTTGCCATCAAGGAATAGAACATACATAACCAAATCTAATCATAAAATACCATTATACTCTTAATGAAATAATATATGCTATATTACTAATATATGGCACTAGACTATACGATTCGACAGTCTAACATTTAAAAGTATGGTTTGACAACTAACTAAAACATGTTTAACTAGCATTCCAACTATTTTGTTCTTCATATTTTTCATTAAGGGCAATTAAATTAACTCATGTGATTTTATGGCTAAATCTGTCTTTTAAACAACGTTTGAGAATAAAATTAATAAGGTTGACTATATATGGAAATATTTCTGCCTATGGCTTAAATATGTGAATGCATTCAAATTAATAAATTTTAAGTTTGTATTTTTGAAAAAAAATTATTAATTACTCAACCGATAACTTAATGTATTTACTTCTGGGGTTTAGAATAGGTCTACAAGGTTTGAGTCCTGCAATTTAAAATACTAAGATATACTCTCTTGAATTTGAGCTGCGATGCAATTTTTTTATGTTTTTATTATATCATTACTCAGTCAATATTGGACAATATCAAAATGAGGAGTATTCTGGTTTTTAAACAAAAAAAAACATGTCCAAATTTATAGATTATGTAAAACATTATCAAAATCAAAAGAACAAATCCTAGTATTTTAAAATACAGGATTTAGATATGCTGACCGTAACCTAGGGTGGATAAAGTCTTTCTTTCCCCAATTTATTTATTTCTTTACAACTGAATGCCTCTAATCAAACAATCCTTCATGTCTGAACAAAAGTATTATTAGAGCGCATTTGAGATTACTGAAGTTTAAAAAATAATCAATTAAGTTTTAAGCTATAATAATAAAAATGTTTGATAAACATATTTTGAAACTGATTATAAAATAATTAATTTTATAAAAATTTGTTTATAAATTATAAACAAATTCTTTGTATATAAAATTATTTAATAGAGTTTTAAATATTTATCAAAATAATTTCTCTAGTATAAAAATATTTAAAGGAAAAATATATATAATTTTTGGTCGTTATACAGGTAATATACTAATATACTGACTCCCTCGTAGTGTTCTTTAGCCGTTGACCATGATCATGTATCATTAAACAACTTGAATTCTACTGAAACTTGAGTGTTCTTTATCTGATAAAGACGGATTTTAGCGGTGCTTGTTCTTCGTTGGTTTGATGAACAACAATTACTTCTAAAGAAATTTCAAATTCTTGTGGGTTGTCGTGTTGCTAGGGGATTTATTTTTGAGTCTCCTTTCTTGAACCCACTGTTGCCATTGTTGAAGATTGATTCTCTTGCTTTTGTGCCTGAGATGTGGCATCCGTCAGATTGCGATTTGGTGGTGATGGTGGAGTGGATTCTTCACAGTTGAGCAGCAAAGACGCAAAAATCTTGAGGGCATAGAAAAGTAGAGATGTGAAAATCTCAATGAGTTTTATGGGGTGATGGAATGTTGTATGTAGAGAAAATAAATAGTGAAGATTAATCAGTTTTAGAGAAGAAGACAGTCAAGCGGTTTCTGAAACCTTTTTTAAGTAGGATTTGAAATATATTGAGTTTCCTGAACTTGATTGGAAACTTCTGATTACTTTCTTAATTTGGATTCTGAAATTTCATGTTTTTGCTACCCATCTTTCAATGGAGACACCAGTTTTTACAGTGTCAAAAATCTAAGGAACTAATAGTAATAAAATTACCAACCCAACATATTTGAACTGTTGAAGCAAGGAAAATCCATTTTATTTTATCACTCATATTTATCAGATCACCCGAAGTCTTGAGTATTCATGATTCTGAAAACTTCACAATGAATACAAAGCAGAACATTACATGAAATTTTAAACTCAATATTTAAAATTTGCAATTGGAAAATTTGACTAAATTAAGGTAAACTCCATACATGCTCTTGTGTAGCTACATTGAGTGGAATATTCAGAAGTTAAATGTAAATTTTAGGCCGCACGTTGAATAACATGAAAATCAAAGATTGAATTGTTAGGATCCCAGTACAATCCAATTTCATCTCCTGTCTTCAAGTTTCGTCTACTGATGAATTTCTGAGCCCATCCGTCAATGAAAATGTAGCTCTTTGAAGTTGACCACTTCTTCATAATCAATGAGTGCTGGGATTGAGTATCTTGATCCCACACCATCACTCTCATACCCTCTTTGCTTTGAACCTCATTAATCTGATGCCTGTTGAAGAATGGCAACACATACTTTTCCATCAGACTTGTTTGCAGCAAAAGCCTACAGAGATGACCCATATCACTTTGTGTTAGCCTCTTCTTTATATTCCATGGATCATTGTAAAGTTTTAGTTTGGTTGAAACACTATTCAACCTCTCTTCTTTCTCCTCTTCAGGGTTGTAATATTTCATCATGGCAATCTTGGAGTTTGCGATCTCTCTTTTCTTTCTGACGCCCTCAAAGTATTCTTTAGCCACAGGTATGTTAGCAGTTGGCCAAGTATCATCAAACAACTTCAGTTGTGTTGAAACTTGAGTGTTGTTTGTCAGTGAAAGAAAGGTGTAAGTTATTGTTCTTGGCTTCTTATGATTGCTTTGATGAGAAAGAGTTACTTCTGTTGAAATTTCGCTAGTTTCTTCAGATTCTTGTGGGCTGATGTGGTTCTTACGCTTCATCAAGTGTATCGCAGTGGAGACTATCTTTTGTTTCTTGGGGGTCTGTTTTTTATCAGTCTCCTTTCTTGATGAACCCCTAGTTGAAGATAGATTCTCTTGCTTTTGTGCATGATATATGGCACCCATCAGACTATTTGGTGGTGGTGGTGGTGGAGTTTCCATTTTTGAGCAGTGAAGACACAAGAAGATGAACAAAAATCATTAGGATTTTGAAGGCAAATAAAAAGGAGAGGTGAAAATCTTAATGGGTTCTATGGGGGTGATGGAATGGTTTATATAAAGAAATTAAGTATTGAAGATTATTCAGTTTTTTAGAAGGAAATATGAAATTTGATTGTTAAAGAAATTTAATAAAACCTGTTTGAAATAGGATTTGAGGATGAGAAGGAAATAAGATTAACCTGTTTGAAAATTATAAAACATGAAAACAACAACATTAAACAACTTTTCTCCGGACTATAAACTAATCTGCCCCTCCAAAATCCAAATCCTAGACAGAAATAGGTTGAGGTTCATCATCACAAGGAGCCTATCTATGAGAACTTGAACCCTAGATAGAGCTGCTTTTGGCAAGTGGATGAACAATGTCGTTGAAATTTTTCATGCCATCGCTCTTGTTGTATGGTAACTAATTTATATATGGAAAGAATTTTTGAACTTTTTATTAAATATGTTTAGTTTGATTTTAGGCTCGTTCTTTACTAGAATGAATAAGTAGGTTAGATATTTAACCCTTTGTTAGATTAATCTAATCTCATCGGCAAACACATGCACCGAGATGTTTGTTTGTTTGTTTTAGGCAAAAACTCAACGTGATGATCATAAACACCATAACTCTCCATTCTCGGGAGATTCTAATTCAAATTTCATATTTAGTTACTTGAAATATTCTCAAATCTAAAGGCTCAACGTACAGTCACAACTTCGTAAAACAAAGCACCCCAAATTTGGAAACTGCACCTGATCAACCAGATTTAATAGGTCATATTTAAATTAAATTAGATGGCAAAGCAAACCACTGGAGAATATTTTTTCGCATTTCGGAGCTAAAGAATAATTTTTTTTCTTAGGGTTTTAACATTAAATCTGTGTCTTAAAATTAACTCAAATTATCATGTTCTTATCTTGTAAACTAAATGAATCTATTTGTCGACATGAAGTGTGTCACATCAGCATACTAATATATACACTCTAATTCTCTTTGCAAGCTCCGTCTGTCAATAAAAATTTGACTTGATTAGTTGGCTCTAATATCTCTGTTAATGTTTCAGTAGTTTAAAATGAATATTACAAAAATAATGATATAAACATCATAAGAAAAATAATGATATAAACATCATAAGATAAATTACTTGAAACTCAAAATTTTAAGTATGAGGTCAAATTTGCTCATGATTGCTTATTTTTATTTGTGGGGAAAAAAAATAACAACGCCCCAGTTTTGTAGAGACACCCTTTATCCTTTCTTCTTCCTCTTCTCTGGGGCTGTAGACTTTCATCTTCATAATCTCGAAAGCTACTTTAGGGTAGGTGTCGTTGGTTCTCTTTTCTCAGTTGGCCAAGGCCAAGCTTTATCCAACAGCGTTAGTTCTGTTGACAAATGATCTCCGCCATCTGATTGCGCTGAACATATGGCACCAATATGAGAACTGAGTGCAGCATTGGCTATTGGTTGTTTCGTCATGGTTGAACTTGAGGGATCAAGAATGTTGCTGATTTCCTGGCTTTTCTAAAACCCCCGTTGTGGGATCCTTCATGTTTAATATTATTTTCATCTCCAAAGTCTTTCAAAGTTACAATTTTACAAACATGTGGGATTTCTCAACTCCGTTCTGAACATGAACATGGGATTTCTTTGGTTTTCATCTCCAAAGTCTTCCAGAGTTACGATTACAAACATGATGAACCGCCACATGCTCAGATGGAGAATCAAATGTGAGTCGGTATGTCTATGTCTATCTATGCTATCTTCAATTTATCGTAACTATATGGGTTACTCATAGATGAATATGTAACTTTCACATTATTTATATAGAATAAATGAAATTGAAAATAATAATAAAATATAAAATATATTTCTTTTTAACTATTGAAACTGAAATTAACACAAAAAGAAAAAAAAAATTATTGATTCTTTCTTAAATTTAATTAACTTTATGCCAAAAAAATTGGAAAGTTTGAAATTTTTATGTCACTATTTGCTTGTCTCTAGACATTATCATGAAATCTGCACATTCCACATTGAAAGAGCTTCACTTTCCAAGCTATTTCTCTGGAAATTTCTCATAATGTCTCACTGTGATTTGTAAATATTTTTCAGAAAATATTTACACAGCAACAATCTTACAATATCACATTTGCAGCATTTGATTCGGGGAATTTTTTATTAATAAAAATATAAGATTATCACTAAAAGATAGATTACCTTGAAGATTAATGGGAAATGTTACATTAATATGTTTGATAGGATTAGTGAGTATAAATAATTAATATGTTTGGTTGGGAAGAATAAAATATTATCAGGGAGATTTTTACTGAATTGCCCTCCCTTTTTAATATTATTATTATTATTTAGAGTATTTTTTAACCCCCTACATTTAAGAATTTAACTAAAATACCCTAACAACAAAAGTTTAAAAAATTAACAAAATATCCTCTGCCACCCAAGACGACTGCCAATTGCCAGCCACAACCACCAGCCGCCATCGGCAGTCATTGGAACAGTGCACAACCGATTGTGCACCGATGTGACCATTTTCAATCAAATCAAAGGTCGAAAACGGTCAAATCCATTCTGGTCAATAATGGTCAGATCTATGGCCTTGGTAGGAGTTGAGTTTGTGACTTTGGTAGTAGGAGTTGAGTTATTTGTGACTTGAATTGGGACCTTTCTTGTAGGGATTGAGTTTGTGACATGGATTGCAACTTCGTTTGCAGGAATTTAGTTTGTGACTTCGATTGTAGGAATTGAGTTTGTGACTTTGTTACAGCAATTGAGTTTTTGACTTGGATTGTTACGACCCAATATTGTTTTTAACTATTATTCTGACTTGGTTGTACAGCAATTATGTTTATAGTTGGCCCGCTCACTTCTTGTCAAATATTTTATTTTACCATTTTATCACTTTGATCTCTGTCCTACTCACTTGGTTCCCGTAACATTTCAAATTTTCAAGGAATCAATTCATTTTTTAAATATTACCTATTAAATCTGGTTGATCAGGTGCAAGTTCATAAATTATAATTAGGTGGAAGGGGTTCAGTTTCCAAATTTGAGTTGCTTTGTTTTAAGAAGTTGTGACCGTACGTACGTTGTGCCTTTAGGTTTGAATTAGGATCTCTCGATAATGGAGAGTTTTTGAGGGACAGAGTTTATGGTCTGGAGGAAAGTTGCTTATAGTTGTAATTTTCAATTGGGTTTCTGTTTAGAAACAAACGAATTCCGCTATTTATCTGTTATCCTATTTAAAAAAGAAAAAATTACTATTTAAGAATCCATAAGTCATCAGAAGTACTATTATAACTATACTTCAAATCCTATTTCAAACAGGTTTTAGAAATTTCTTATTTCCTTCTCTAAATCTGATTAATATTCAATACTTATTTTCTTTATATAAACCATTCCATCGTCTCCCATTTAAATTTTCACCTCTCTCCTTTTCTTTGCCCTAAAAATCCTCAAGCTTTTTGTTCTTCTTTGTGTGTCTTCACTGCTCAACAATTGAAACCCCACCACCACCACCAAATAGTCTGATGGTTGCCATATCTCAAGCACAAAAG